CCCCTTCCACCTTTCCCAACCGTGCATAAGACCGTTTCCAGAATCACAGAAACTGGCACAGAGAGAGAAGTAGGCCGTCGCCAGCGTCCCCTAAATATAAAATTGAGAATTATTTTAATTAAGAAAATGCCAGCTATGCTGTGCGTGCGCGTGTGTGTGTAGTAGTGGTAGATTATGGAGCTTGTGCAAAGCTCTGCGCCAGGTGACCGCCACCAAGAGCCCCTCTTGCCGTTAGAATGAGAGAGGGAGGTGGTGCGGGGTACTTTACCTTGGCCAGCGACGCGCGGCAAACGAACCACTCCCGGCGCGCGCCTTCACGTAGGGCAGCATGACGACGACGTCTAGGCGGGCACGGGAGCCTTGTGGGGGCGGGCGGCGGGGGCGACCCTGGGGCTCGGGGTGGCCAGCCGTGTCGAGGCATACGGTACGGTGCTTCATTATGTTCATTACCACTGCACTTAGGGGGGTGGGTGGGGGTGGTGTGTGTGTGTGTGTGTGTGTGTGCATCTATAGCGCCGCCCTCCTTTTACTCCGAGAGCTCAAAACGCTCAGAAAACCAACAACGACCACAGCCGTGGCCACGGCTATACGGCCAACCCCTTCCTCATGACTAGTCATAGAAGACGAGGGGTATATAGCTTTCGGCCAATCACAAGTAGTGATGCAGGCGGCCTCTCTATGTGGTCACGAGAGTCCCTGAAGGGACACGACATTCCTCGGCCTTCTTATTCCTTTTCGTTTGTAAACAGCTCGTATTTCAGCAAAAAGTCCCTCACGGCGTCGGAAACATTTTTAGGGCGCGTTGTATCCGGGACAGCCGGCCGTAGCCCGGGGCCCGGGGTGCAGACGCCCTCGGCCCTCCTCCCCCGGGCCCAACGGAGCCCAAGCATGTCAAGAGGTATTGACAGCTCTGCAGGCCGGGGGCCGCCGGGCCGGCCGGGCCGGCCGGGCGTCGTAGGCATCGTGTCCAGGGGGTGGACGTGGCCGCCGAGACCACTGCACCGCTGCTGGGAGGAGTATGGAGGAGGGAGAACGTTTTAGATCGCGTTCTGAACATAGCGACACGAAATCTCATTATTGACATTGGATGAAACAAACGACAACGCTTTTTGTGACGCCTTTCGAGTGCATCCTTGCCGTCGCGGTGCTCGTGGTGTACCTACCTGCTCCGAAACGGCTTAGAAAACTTAGCATCTTTGGATTCGTTTCTTACCGAACGCCTTTTAACGCCCTCAGAGAGGCGATCACAGTCCGTTTTACAGATCGGGTTCGCCAGTGACGACAGCGCGCTGCTGCTGCACATGTCCGACACCTTTCCTTCCCTTCTTCCGTTCCCCTCTTGACCCAATGCCCCGACATGTCTTGTCGCCGTCGTCGTGGTGGGCCAATGCAGTCCTCCCTCCCCCCTCCTCCTCCTCCTTGCTGCTGCACCCGCAAGGAGATGGTCCGCTGTGGCGGGGGTGGGGATGAACTGCATTGGCCCGGCGCCCCCGATGACAGGCCGGAGGCTGCTATGGGGCTGCTGGTCCTCCGGGGCGTGCTCGGGCCTCTCGGGAACACCCCGCCCCGCC